AGAGCTTAAGGAGTTTAAACATTCAGGGTATGAACCATTATAGGCATAAAGTATGAGTGTGCTTATAAGGTTTATTTAAGAAAAGTATTGGGATTTGTTGGTTTCTTGCCCACCAGAATGTACATTTTTTAAAAAATTTGAAATAATAAGATTGTTTCAGACAAAAATTAAGTTTTGATTCAGCAACATAGATTAGACAAACATCTTGACTTAATATCGATCCACACTTTGCATATACACCCTCTTCCACATATTTGTATTAGATTTTAAAAGGTAAGGGGCCGTTTTTCATGTACTTCCAAGCTGCTTTCAACAGTCATGAAATATACTTGGCTTGGGCAGTCTCTGGAGCCCCAGAATTTCAGCTTAAACTTTCCATTTGTCCCTGCCAGGCACTAAGTCTAAAATATCTTTTTTTATGGAGACCGCCTCCAAAAGGTGTGGCTGTGTGCTGGTTTCATCTTGCACTTTGTAGCGGTGTTGGCACAGTGCAATGCGAGGAATACCACTGTCTCCCACACGCCGTCGGTGCCTGAGGACTGTTCGGGCCTGTCCATGTTAGTGGTTTGGGACGGGCCTGAGTTTGGAGAGAAGGCTCTCTGCTGTCTACATGATTGGCTGTCACCAGCGCAAAGGGGGAAAAATAGAACCAGTGGAAAATGCAGAACCTGATGTGTCATCAGAAATTCTTTCTGTAGTTCTGTAGTTGGAGTGGTGAAGACCGATTCCTCTTATCTTAGGAAACAATACATCTTGGCTTCGCCTCTTTCAGACCCTACTGCTGTTCGTTTTTTGACTTCTTTCTTCTTATGTAATACTGATTTCTTCTGATATATATAAAAAAAAAAGAGTCAGTTAAGAATCTGCATTCATCAGATTCTTGAGAGTGGACTTTCCTCCCCAGACTTATACACTGGCTACCCCAGGATTCACAGATAAAAAGCATTCCTCATTCAGGTACAAAAATCTATCTGGAAGATGAAATCTAACGAGAATTTATGTATAAACTTTATGAGGAGCATGCTAATTTCTGTTTTGTTTGATAGCCACCATAGATGATCTATATCTTTTTTAAGGCCCATTACATTTTGGTTTATTGAACTGTATGATGTGGGATTTATCAAGGACTTTGGAAAGAACAACTTATCAAATTTGATAATTCCTAGCAATTGCCATTTCCTGTTGGATTTTTTTTTTTTAAATGAGATCTCTTGGAAAAGTAGATATTGACCTTGATTATTTAATATAATTAAAGGAATCGATTTTAGAATTGTTGAAATAATGAATATTTTTGCTTTAGAATGCTTTTTAGACTTTTGATGTTAGTGGATCCTGTTGCCTGAAGGAAAAGATGTGAACTTCAAATGTTTCTGGGTAGTACTTCCAATTCCCTGTTTAAATATTTTAAAGGGGAAATGGATTGAATCACAGATATTGTACTAGAGAATAGGAAATCCTTGCATTGTTACTTTTAAAAATTTACTCCCTGTAAGTTTACTTTTTAAAACTTCTATTGTAAAACCTTGATCAGCTGTGATGATTCATATAATTAGGTAATAAAGCTTTTTTTCAATATTAAAAATTCAGTAGGAAGTTCAGTATATTTCCTCTACTCCCTATCACATACATGCGTCTAACTTCTTTCTTTTTGCAGTATTCTGGTGTGTACTCTGAGAAAAGTTCCAGATACCTGATAGTTATCACAATGTATTTTAGAAACTTCATATAACACTTGTGTGAGTGAAACAAATGGTATTTTATAACTCAAGATACTGAAACTAAACTACTACTTCCCCCCCCCCCCAAGGAAACATTGAAAGAGGTGGGAAAAGAGGGATTTGCTTCCCCCCCCCCCCTTCAAGCTGAAGCAAAGAAATAGAAAGATAGCCAACTCAGTAATATAACAGCTTTTGGGTATATATTTCAATTCACAATTAGGTGAAATCTTTAACATTTAATTTAACTTTCATATTTGCCTGCAGAAATGATTATTTTGATAAGATTCTGAATAGAGATAAACCTTTATTAAGTAATTTCATTTTTAGTTTCCAACTTCAAAGATTTGCTTTTTAATTTAAAAAGCATAATGCTTAAATGCTTGTGTAACTTACCAGTGAAGGGAAAGTAGAATTGGGCATATTAATTGGATGAGTGTTGGATGGATATGTGGGCTCATGGATTTACTATTTAATTGTTAGTTTTCTGCATCTTGGCATGTGCTAATAAGTAAGACCTGCAAGTTTGAGAGGGCTAAGAAGAGAATGACAGTGAATCCTAATTAATAAAATTTCTGCACATCATTTCTCTACCTTTCTGTTTTCCTTCTGCTACATATGCTGATGATATTTCATTTTGTTCAGTAGAGAAGGCATTTATGGGGGAGGATATTTTTATGAGATTATAGTCTTTGAAAGGCAAGGGGAAATACTCTGTTTCCCTAAAAATAAGACAGTGTCTTATATTAATTTTTTCTCCCAAAGTTGCGCTAGATCTTATTTTCAGGGGATGTCTTATCTTTTCATGTGCTAAGTCTTATTTTCGGAGGAAGTCTTATTTTGGGGGAAACACGGTAGCTTATATAGTTAATCCTGGGAAATTAAATGGTGTGCTCTTTTATTTTATAGTTTTTCTTTTTACAAAGTTTTAAGTTAAATCTTATGAGACTTTCAAGGCATTTGTATTTTAAGTGCTTTTCAGGTATGCTCATATTTTAACATTTAGAGACTTGGGGTAGCATTGCTGGATTTTTTCAAGGAGTCACCCACATCAACATTTTAACAGCACATCCTAAAACATTATTAATCCAAAACAGATCACTAACTCCATGCTGGATATTCCAATTCCAGAGCCCTGTGGTGGTACTCTGATTTCCTAGCAAATTCTTAAGTGATCCATAGGCCCAGGCAGGTAAAGGAAACACAGGAGAGGTAAAAGTTCTCACTCAACTGTCTGCATAGTGACTGTCTGCAAAGTCAGTGGCACATCTGTCCTGCCTTCAGGAAGTCAAAAAGGGATTCCAGTGATGTTACAGTAGCACACAGTCACCCAGTGAACAGTTTTGCATGCCCAGAGTTCAGATGTGGATTAGCCCTATGTTCAGGGATGGCTTTAGGATGACTTGATAATGGGAGTCTATAGAGCACAAAGCCAACTCTGCTAGGACTGTGCTTTCCAATAGTGGGGTCACTAGCCACATACAGCTATTTTAATTTAAATCAATACAACTTAAAAATTCAGTTTCTCAGCCCCAGCAGCTGCATTTCAAGTGCTCCGTAGCTACCTGCGGCTAGTCACTGCTTTATTGACTAGCACAGCTATGAGAACATTTTCATCACCACAGAAAGTTCCACTAGACCAGAGGTCGCCAACCAGTGATCCGTGAGGTTCAAAAGGTGGGCGACTGATGCACTAGACAGTGCTGCTGAGGATTTTCTCCCATAATTTAGCTCTTTTGACCTAGGTGGCTGCAATGGCTAATAGAGATGGGTGGGAAAATCAGGTGTTGTCTATCACAGGACAAGCTGCAGTCTAAAAGGGTATCAGGTTTGCAAAATGATATAAGACCATTAATTCTCTGAGGTCAAAATTTGTTAACACAATTTTATTTATTTTTGTATCGTAAATCTGTTGTTGTCTTATACAAACTCATAGTATTAGAAAGAGGACCGCTGCCGAAACCGGTTTGGCTCAATGGATAGAGCGTTGGCCTGCGGAATGAAAGGTCCCAGCTTCGATTCCGGTCAAGGGCATGTACCTTGGTTGCGGGCACATCCCTAGTAGGGGGGTATGCAGGAGGCAGCTGATCGATGTTTCTCTCTCATCGATGTTTCTAACTCTCTATCCCTTTCTCTTTCTCTCTGTAAAAAAATCAATAAAATATATTTTTTAGAAAAGAAAAGAAGGAGGACTGCTTATTAGAAATTTGCTTAACATGATATATGGCTTATAATAATTACACACCTAAGATTTCATTGAAACAAAATTATAAATATTTAGCCTATCTTATATAAACTATTCCTAGATTCAAGTACACAGTAATGAACCTTAAATGTCTAAAAAGTTATTAATCAATGGTCAACAAGCAGGTTGCACATGTATTTTCATAAAGATTATTATTTTACCTATATTTTGCAGTTTGAGAAATTTGAGGTGGATATATTTAGCTCCCTCTTCTGGTTTATTATGATAAAAAATTTATTTAAAATGCTTCATACGATTGTGGAGTGAGAATACAGTTATCAATGTAATGTTGAAGGACATTTGTGTCATGCAGTTCAATTTTTTCTTTTGAATCATTATAATCAGTAAAACATGTAAACAGAGCATGGAAAAATGAAAAAGTATCACATTTCTTAGGATATTAATTGACCAAAACAGTGTAAGCAAATAAAGGCTCTGATGCAAGTACAGAGGGACTTAACCTGAGTGTCAAGTGGCCAGTGATTGTGTCTGTTGGCTTCCAAATCTGATATTGGCCCAATTCTGACATTTGGACAAGAGTACAAAAGGAAACCCACGTACTCCTGTGTCTTGATATTTTAAAGTTATAAATTATATTAACAAACGGATAAAGTCTGTTCTGTCCTCCTGCCTGTACAGTTATTTATTCATTAAGGACCAGGAGGCCACATTTCAGGGGCCTAGCACATCCAAACTCCCTTCCATCTGGGCCCAAGGGTAGAGAGTCCTACCCTGGGGAGGGTGGGTCTGGGGAAGAGGCCAGGAGAAGCCTCTGGGGCAAGGAATTTTGGTATTCCAAGTGAGTATTCTGAGTGTGTCCTTGGAGACAAGGCCGTGTATCTTGGCCCCCAAACTCATAACAATGTGGGAAGAGGCACAACTGGAGGGGGTCCAGCACAGGGCTCTCTTGTGCTCTGGACTGAGTTTACTTCTGTCAAACAGAACTAAATTATTTTGCAATCAAATTTTCTTCATTGTTGCATGATGTACTCATTGCCCCAAATTAAATATGGTAATCATGGGATTTTGTTTATTTGCAGCTTTGACCCTTCCGGATCTTGCAGAACAGTTTGCCCCTCCTGACATCGCTCCACCTCTTCTTATCAAGCTAGTAGAAGCCATTGAAAAGAAAGGTAAGCTGACGGGGTAGAGGGAATCAGCCGACTTGTTACATCCTTGTTTCATGGGCGTTACAACTTATGTTCGACTCTTGGGCATTCATCAAATCCTGTGCTAGATACCCAAGCCATGCGTTGCTGTGTCCTAGGGACATAATCTTGGTCCAATTTCTTGCTCCATATTAACATGTAGTTACTCTATGAAAACTATTAAGTTCTCCATATTTAAATATATATATATATATATATATATATATATATATAAAAAATATATATATATATATATATATATATTTTTTTTTTTTTTAACGTGCTCCTTAGTGGACAGAAAATTTTGTCCAAAGTTATTGACATGCCAGATAGGATTAATAGTAGGCGTTGACTTCCAAGAATATTTGGTACACATCTAGAATAGATATTGGATGGAAACTGGAATGTCTTTCTGGCAGCAGGCTCACAGGTTCTCCAGAGAGCTGTGTTTCGCATGCTCACTCTGTTTTGTGTCCTAGGTCTGGAATGTTCAACCCTATACAGAACACAGAGCTCCAGCAACCCAGCAGAATTACGACAGCTTCTTGATTGTGGTGAGTGCCATGGAACTACAGATACAGATGGCAACGACAGTGTTTACCTTTCTGTTTCGGGTAAAGCACACAACGCTTAAACTTAACCATGCTACCTTCTAAGTTTGAAGGGAGCCCAGACATCAAGCATAGCTCCCTTTTCCCTATTATGGTAACGGTGCAGGCCTTTGATGTTCGTCTCCTGTGTTGGGGTGTGTGTGCACGCCTGCCAGTAGACATGTTGGCCATCATCACAGCCCCGGCCTCTGGAGTTGCAGGGGAGAGAAACAGCCTCTTGGGGTTTCTCTGGCTCTGCAGATCTACCATCTTTCTCTGACCCGGAAGCTGGCTACATCTAACTCATCTGGATCAGTTTAAAGAATACTTCTTTGTGTCATTTAACAAATGTCTCTTCTGACCTTTTCCCTCTTTCCTTTCCTTTTCTCTTTCCCATTCCCTTTCCTTTCTTTCTGTCTTGCTTTCTTCCTTCCTTTCTTGATTGCTTGCTTTTTCGTGTCATATTTACATTAAGTAACGTCATGATATTGTTATAGTCCACAGTGTACTAGTAAACCAACTCTAAAAGAGGAAAAAAGCCCTGGTTGGTTGCATTTGCCCGTTTCTGTGGTGTAAATATTCTAACCATGCTCAATTTCCGACTCACATGTTTTCACAGCACTCCAACTTGGGCAGAATTGAGCACAGTTGGAGTGGCCCTTGTGAGTGGGTACAACCCAGCTCCTGCACACCAATTAATGACATTCAACCAAGTAGTGGTACTGTTATTTGTCCCTTCCTTCTTTTGCCAGACTGAATAAAACTGTACAAATGTGGATAAATTTACTTGCCATCACTTTAATGTCAATTTCTACATGAACTCTCAGATCCTTCATTTCTTTTCAACACTTTTCTTTTTTAGAAACATAATTTTCCTCTTCACATTATTTTAGTTGATGGGTATTTGAACAAAAAAGAGTGAACCCATTTTAGAAGAAGCTTTTTCAGACATGTGCAAAGAATGTTCACATGATAGTTAGCAAATGAAAATCTGAAGTGTGAGGCAGCTTCAAAATCTTTAGAAACAATGTTTCAGGGAATAAAGGAGATTAGATCTTTATCAGTACATAGTTTCACTTGAAATGCACCACCTGAATATTGGAGCTTAAAAAATGTTTTGTTTTTACCCCCCCTCCCCCTCGTCATGGAAATCATATGCAGCATATGTCCTTTGTACTGCTGTATCTCCTGTCTTGCCCACAGAGTAGGTCATTAGAAGTTGAAAAGCATAAAACTAGGTGAGAGACCTGTTTTTATTTATTTTTTAACAGTTTTACTAGGGTGTTAAGGAAACTGAATTTTTTTTTTTTTTTTCTGAGTCAGTTGAAAGAGTGATACATGTTTTGGTCAGAAAATCGGTCAAGTTGAACATGTTAAAAGTCACAGGAAATGTTTAGACATCAGAGACCAATGCATTGGGAGTTATTTGAGAAATAGTGGTTATGTTTTTAAATGTGACCAAACACAAATGATGCAGTTTAGTTTTTTAAAAAAATCCTCACACCACTTGTGAGGTGGAATATATAACCAAAATGCACGTCAACAATATATTTGACAGATTTCCTTCCCCTTTTGAGATCAAAACACACACATAGAACACTGCTTTCATTTGACGTTTCGATTCTGTACTATAAAAGTGAATTTTGTGGAAAAAAGGTAAGCAATATCTAAATTTAGGAGTTGATCCTTCAGGGCTGTTTCCAGCTTGAGGATTTTCAATACATAAAAAAACATTGTACTATTCTGGAAGAAGCTCAGAGATAAGTCACTTACACTAAACAGAAACATTATCTTTTAACCAACGCTGTGAATTGTCAGTGTCTGAAAAGGCAGACTGGAAGACTACAGCTCACTTTTATTATCAACTAGTAAGTTCTCTTATTTCACCCACATTTTAACCTTGCAATTTAGGCATCAGTTATTGCTAATTGAAAGCTATAACTTGCACCCAAATTGTTCTGACTCTAAAAGTCCTTATACTTTTGTTCCCACTATATTGCCCTAAAATTAATTATTTTGTTCTTATGTGAATTTTTTCCTATTTTGGTTTTTCTTAACCTGAATCAGGTTTTTCTTTAAAAGTTCTCATCAAAACAATTTTTGTTAATTAGACTTACTGTGATCATCATTTCACAATATATACAAAGAGAAATCATTTTGTTGTGCACCTATAGATAATATAATATCTCAGTTTTTAAAAGTTAGGCCTTTTAAACCTCAATACTGTAATTGACATTTTAGGATAAAGTTCTTTGATGTCCTATGCAAGATAGAATGGCTAGCAGCCTCTACCCACTAGATGCCCTCCTCCTCCAGTTGTGATAAAAAAATGTCTCCAGACATTGCCAGGTCTCTGGTGGGGGTGCAGTGGGGCAGAAAAACTGGGAGCCACAAATAAAGAGGTCAGTTGAGGAGGAGGTGCCATTCCAGTTGGAGGAGGGCTGAAGTGGTGGACAGTTTACTGGTTATCTGTCTTGAGTAGAACTCGGTGAAAGTGAGGTGGCAGAATGTGAACTTCCCCAACCCAGATATAAAGATTGTACAGCTAGATAGCTTCGAAAGTCATGGATGGCTGTTGGAAGTGCCTTAATGCAAAAAGGAAGACATAGGACAAAGGTCAGAAACTCCAAGAAACTTTAGAAGTTACCCATATTTTTCGGCGTATAAGACGACCCCCCTAATTTTACAGTTAAAACATAGGTTTAGGCTTATATTTGCTGTATAAGACTACCCCACACTTCAAAGAAAAGTCTTACTTTGCCGTCAAGATCTGCAGGTAATTTTTGTGCAGTTTTGGTCTTTTGCCCCCGATTTTTGGTTGATTTTTTTTCGGTTCAAAAGTCGTCTGATACACCGGAAAATACGGTACATTAAAAAAATAAATAGAACATACTATGCAATGAATTTTAGTGGAATTTGACATAAGGTGAGCTGATGTAAGGATTTGCCAAAGACTTAAAATAAGGCTGTTTCATTCAAAGATGGTTAAGGCTCTTTGGGATACATCTCTGGTGTTAGAGTAATGTTCATTTACCAAAGCCTAACTCTCTTTTTATATAGTTTAGCCCACAAACATTGAACAGGCACATTCTATGTGCTGGTCTGGGCACTGAGAGAGGCAAGAAGAGCAGGTAAGAGCCATAGTCCATGCCCTTGAGGTACTCTTAGTCCAGCAGGGAGACAGCCATTAGCATCCTGTGTGGGACGTGTCATGATAGAAATGTGGCTCATCAGCACTGCTCTGGCAGAGAAGACAGTAGGAACCCTGCCTGATGGAGGGACATGTGGAATATTTAGCGTCTTAATGTTTATACCACATCACCCATTGGCTTATCACATTTTTTAGGATGAACAAATTAAGTAATTAATTTGCTGGCAAAGAGACTTAGTATAAACAAAGCATGTGAGGGGGTAGGCAGCAGCTTGCCCAATAGACAGTGGTTATGGAATGTTCCCGTAGTGATTCACACACAATTTTGCTTGACAGTCCACTAGTAAGTAGTTGCATTACTTTCAAGGTGGGTGGATCCTTTATCCAAAGACCTAGTATCGCCTTTCCCACGCTTGGGACATATCTAATCTAATGTGATGTCTCTCGACAGTTCTTTGTAGGACATTTAAGTGATTTAACCCTTTGACTCTCTACCTTTTAAGTTCAATAATTCTTTTATTCAAACCTGCCAACATTTTCCATGAAATGAACTTTATGGTGTGCGGTTATCTTTTGCAAAATCTGCCTACTTAGTTGGGCAAGTTTGTATTATGATAAGGATGTGTCCAAGGAACTGTTGTAGCTTCAGGCTCAACCTGGAGTGATATATATCATCACACTTGGTTCATGGAATCCAGAATACCACCCTCTACTCATGCTCAAACATCTTCTTGCTCATCCTCTTCAGGCTCAGCCTCATCCAGTCAGTCACACGTTATGTTAGTTCTGGATAATGTCTCACACATTTCTAGCTGTATTAGAATTCAAATGACCAAAAGCGTTATTGTCACTTCCAACAGCTCTGCTTTCCAACTTATTTTTAACACCACAATTAATAGATCACTTTAAAGATGCAGCATTTTATAATATGCATCAGCTCACCTTTTCTTTATTGAGTCTCCAGATCATTTTCTTCAAGTTACCCTTCATGTCACAGAGTGCATCCAAACGCCCCTTGTTTCTGGATGGCCATTCCTGCCCCAGAACCCCTTCTTTCTCCTGAGCACCGTGCATGTTCTCTCTCAAGCACTCAGAGTGGCTGTAATTCATATCACCCCATCCTTGAATTGCCTGACCTCTTTTCCAGCCGAAGGATTTGCTAGACGGATATGCTCGTGGTATTATTCTTCTGAGATGGTTCAGAGCCCACGGGTTAGGTTAGTAATCCCCTGATCATAGTACCCTGTCAGAATTAGGGGGACATGTGTTAAAGATGCTCAGGTTATTTTTATGGGTAGTCTTGAGATTGCTAAAATTCTATGATACCTTACTGTGTCAATCAGTCACTCTGTTGGGTTAAACTTATATTAATTCTGAGATGCAGTATTTAGCAACTCAAATTTTAGGAAATGTAAGAATTTGCATTTTACATTTTCCTGTTGAGGTTTTAGGAAGCATTTACTATGTGATTAGACACCCCTAGGCAAACCCTCCCTTCCCTCCCTCCCCCCTTTCAGGGCAAAAGCACCCTCCAGAAATATTTTGGGGAATACATTAGTTTGTTAGAGTTGTCATAAGCAAAATTCTACAGACTGGATTACTTAAAAAAATAGAAGCCTGCTTTTTCACAGTTCTTAAGTTGGAAGTCCCAGATGAAGGCAGGTTTGGTTGCTTCTGAGACCCCTTTCTGGTTTACAGATGGCCACCTTCTCGCTGTGTCCTCACGTGGCGCTCCCTCTAGGTGTACGCCCCTGGTGTCTGTTTGTGTATCTAAAGCTCCTCTTCCTAGGACACCAGTTAGATTGGATTAGGGCCTACCCTAATGGCCTCATTTTAACTTAAAACCTCTTCGAAGGCCTTATCTCCAAATATAGACACATTCTGAGATATGGGAATTAGGGCTTCTGCATATGAATGAAGAGACACAACAATTTTTTATTGCCCCAAAGTCTGGGGGTGTGCTCCCAGCACCATGGCCAAGGACCTTCAAGCTAAGTGCTCACTGTGTTGGAGATAGACTGACATAAAGGAAAATAATTTAAAAATGCCAGGGCAACCCCTGTGAGAAACTCATATAAGTTCTTACTGCTTCCTTTCATATGTCACCTTTAAGTCAGACATTCAGAGAATTGGCCTCCAACCATTGTATAAAATGTCTGAATTTTTATTTTATTTTTTTTTTATGTTTTTATCATAGATGCCGCCTCTGTGGACTTGGAAGCAGTTGATGTTCAAGTTTTAGCAGACGCTTTCAAACGCTATCTCTCGGACCTACCAAATCCCGTCATTCCTGTAGCTGTTTACAATGAAATGATTTCTTTAGCCCCAGGTTTGTTTTCTCTTGGAGAACCTCATTGAACATGTATTGAGATGTGGCTGTGCTTGTATAGTCTGCATATGAAGAGATGATTTTTTAGAAAATATTAGTAGGAATCTTTCCTCCTCCTCCCTCCCACCCCCTCTACCAATCTTGACACATCCACCCCCACTCAAATTCGTACAACTTCCCTCCATTAACATCCAATAGAAGACCCAGCTCCTCGTTTGCTTATGGAAACCTGTCCCCATGCTGAAGTGGCTAATTGTTCACCTTTATCAGTATTCACAGAGTTCACTGCATCAGTGAAGGCCTCCATGCTGTGTCCAGTGGCTGGGGGCTATTCTTAACCGTTGTCTTCAAGTGGCCATTACAAAAGTGTGGAGGGAAGGGGACTCAGTTTTTAGGAGCTAATGCTCAGTCAAAGTGCTTTGGGGACAGGAAATTGTGGTTTGTAACCTTCAAAGTTAAAACCTGTGATACTTATCAGATGCTCCTCCAAATGAGCCAATCACACTTGCAGCTGCTCAGTAGAGGGCAGATTTCTGCCAGCACACCCTGAACCTTTTGTGGTTTCTTTTTTTTTTTTTAACACCCAAAACTTCTTACATTTCCATTTGACTTGAGACTTCTACTCTCTCACAATGTCTTTTCTAATGAGAAGGACAAATGGACTGTCTGCTACTTCTGATGACTTTGTTTTAAATGGCTCCTTCTTCCACAGCCAGAAGGATAGGAATTTTTTAGGTGTTTATTCTCTGGCACCTAGAAGTACCTTTTATTCTTTCCTCATTTCCTTTTGTTTTTGTTGTTAACTTGCAGAAGTACAAAGCTCCGAAGACTACATCCAGCTGTTGAAGAAGCTCATTAGGTCACCTAACATACCTCATCAGTATTGGCTTACGCTTCAGTATTTGCTCAAACATTTCTTCAAGCTCTCCCAAAGCTCCAGCAAGAACCTCTTGACTGCAGGAGTGCTCTCAGAACTTTTCAGCCCTCTGCTTTTCAGACTCCCCGCAGCCAGGTGAGTGAGAGAAGAGAAGCATGCTTTTTGGGATGATGAGGGTAGTCCTTCACACTTACTCTAAAGATATTATTAGTTCCCAGACCCATGTGCACATTTACATTGGAATGTGTATAAATGAAGGTGAGCCTGTTGTGTAGGGAGAAGATTTCTAATGAACTCTCTCTTTTTTTTTTTTTTTTTTTTCTGTAGCTCTGAGAATGCTGAACCCCTCCGAAAAGTTATAGAAATTTTAATCTCAACAGAATGGAGCGAGCGACAGCCAGCACCAGGTAAGTGCCCTTTGAACTTTCCAGATTCACTCCTTGTTTGTTTGATTTTTAGAGCATGATAAATGGTGGCTTTAGACTTCATCTGAAATAGCATAAGTTCCTATAATAACGTGTTCTTGTGGTTAAAGACCCACTAGCTGAATGGTCATGTGCGTGGTGGGTGTCATCCGTATTTCAGTGTGTGAAAATTTGAAATGATCGTGGTTTTCGATGAGGTTGTGGGGACAGCTCTCTGTCCCCCTCAACTTTTATGCTTCTAGTTTTGCGTAAATTATGGAGCTCATTTTAGTTGTTGACATTTTAGTTTGTCTTTCTAATAGGTAGAAAGTAGGGAATTTATAATTACTATATAATTTAAAGAATTTGGGAATGTGTTTTTTGGAAGCAGGTATGCTGAGAAATGTCTGTCAAAATAAACATTTTCAGGAGCGCAAGCAGCATGAAACCAGGGAGTTCACTGCAGCACGTTAGAGCAAGCCAGGCCCTTCTTTGAAAGCAGGCTGGCGTTCAATTAGCCATTTGACAAAGCAGGAAATGTAGGCCGTGCTAGCAGTGGGTTTAATTTAAACTTTCTTCTACTGTGCAAAATCTAAGCAGCCACACTTTGCTGTATATACTGGTTAAAAGCTGGCCATTTAAAATAGTGACTAAGGTCTTGTAAGTGAAGTTTCAGGACCAGTAAAAGGTGTTGCTTATATTCTTAATTTATGCTTAGAATTTAAATAAAACCCCAGAGGTAGCTCATGAGAGTGCCCAGATTTATTTCTGTGTGGGCAGGCATGGGGACCCAGGGTCACTGCCAGGCAGTGGAGATGGAAGCTGTGCTCATTTAGGTACTCCATGATAGGGTTGGTTATCTCCACTTGGATGGAGCAGACTGAGAGAGGTGAGGGCCTGTGCTGACTACCCTCCTGTAGGGATGGAGTAGAACCAGGTGTGGGTATTGGGCAGGGCTTCTGTTGACAGGCCTAAAATATGGTCTCCGGGGGTGAGAGAGGCAGCAGAAGTGGTACTTAAGGCAGGTGTGTGTGTTCTAGATCACAGCAAGCAAGATGCTCCACAGGGGGCCTCGCATTATAGGTAAACTGCAGAGACAGCTGTGGACAAGGATGGCCAGGAGGTGGTCCAAAGATTCCATCTCCTATGATGCGTGGGTCATTTGTTAACGGGTCTTGCATTGGAACATGGCACTTTAGTCATTCGTTGATGGCCTTCCCTAAACTGATCACACGAGTGGAGAAGAAAGCAGATCTCTGGGCCAGAGTTTGGGCTCTGATCTTTCACTTCCTCCCGACTAGTGTGGTAGTCATCTCAGACCCCAGGGAGAAGCGGGGCTGCTGCAGGGGAGGGCTAGGTGGGACCACCGTCCTGGTCTTCTCAATGGCTCCCTCTCTGGAGAGGGGAAGTATGGAAGCTAAACACCAGCCAGGGTGTGACAGACACCCACAAATGAATTTATCACGTGGCGTTTTTGAGAATGTCTACTATACGGGTGTCGTAGGATCAGTGGGGGAGTTTAATGAGTGACTGGTGTAAACTGATTCAACATCTTTATCAGTTTCTGCTGAATTCTGCCAAAGAAAAGATTGATCTGCAACCATTTTCATAACACACACTTAAAAATGTTTGATAGCCCCAGCTGGGTGGCTCAGTTGGTTGGAGCATTATCCCATACACTAGAAAGGTTGCAGGTTCGATTCCCAGTCAGGGGCACGGCGTGTACCTAGATTGCAGGCTTGATCCCTGATTGGGGCGCATATGGGAGGCAACCAGTTGATATTTCTCACATAATCCTTGAATGCCCCTCTCCCCTTTCCTAGAAATCAATTTAAAAATACCTTCGGGTAAGGATTAAAAACAAAACTGCTTGATATATCGTAGACCCTACCTACATTTTGTTTATAAGAGAGTTGGTGTGCCAGTTTCAAAGGCGGATTACTTCCACCAGCTCTGCTGAATAAAAATAAATGAAACACTTGCTAGATGATCCCAGGATTCATACAGCCTCTTCAAAAAAAGAATGAGCCCCAGTCATTTTAAATATATTTTTATTGATTTTGTACAGAGAGGAAGGGAGAGAGAGAGTTAGAAACATCGATGAGAGAGAGTCATCGATCAGCTGCCTCTTGTACACCCCCCACCGGGGATATGCCCACAACCAAGGTACATGCCCTTGACCGGAATCGAACCCGGGACCTTTCAGTCCCCAAGCCGACGCTCTATCCATTGAGCCAAACCAGTCTCGGCAAGCCCCAGTCATTTTAAACCCTGCTGTGAGCCATTTTCACCTTTGTGTGATATCTCCCAGGAAATTGTATAGGCCCTTTGGAATTAAATGGATGCTTTAGTGTCTCTCGCCTGTGAAAATAAGATGACACACCCCAGGGAAAACGCCCCATTCTGAACACCTTCGCTCAGGAATGGCTCCAGTGCAGGTGCCTGGACCAGAGAAATGGCCTGGTAGGAATGTGGCATTTCCAGGCCCCTCACTGCCCAAGCACGTGGCTTTACCAGAGGGCTTTGGAGGCACAGTACCCAGGCGTTTCCATTAAGGGATATAAGTCATTCATTTGCGACAACTTTATTATTGTGGATAGAAATGAGCACGTGAGTGATATTTGCGGGAAGGGGTTATTATGGGACAAAGACATCTTTGGTAGTTTTTACCAAATAGAACTTGAACGGACAGGCAAAGCTGATGATGTCTGAGGCAGTTGTCAATTTGAAGAGGAAGGGCCCATTAGCACATCGTGTCTAGTTAAGCACTAGACCAAAGGACTGGTATTGTAAGTACAAAAATAATTTTAGGGATGTGATTGGTACCTTGTTAGGGTAATTGAGTTGACAGAAAAAGCTCCTGGGAAGAATAAGACTTGAAATGGGCTTTGAATAAAAGGAGCAGTTTGAATAGGGGAAAGAGAAATAACATTTCAGTTCAAGGAGTTTCAAAGATTTATTCAAGATAAATTACCAAGTACAGAAATAATGAAATGGCTTGACAAAATTAATCAGAAAAAGCTAAGCAACCATATGGTTTCACTCATAGGTGGAATAGAAAACTGAAACTCGTAGACACAGACAACAGGATGGTGATTACCAGAGGGAGGTGGGTGTGGGGTAAAGGGGGGCCTAATATATGATGAGAGATGATGATTTGAGTTTGGGTTAAAAAAAGGAAAAAAGGCTTGGTATTTTTATCAGATTTTAAAGAGCAGGAGATATTTCAGTGACTGTATCATACAAGCATCACCTAGTTTGAATGTATTGCCCAGCTCTTCGTGTGCAGATGAAAAAAGGGGAAGCCAGCAGAGGTTCAGGGTTTCATGGGTGCTGACTCTCGGTTCTGTGGAGGGCTGTGCTCTGCTCCCCGGGCCTGTGGGACCTCCGTGAGCAGTGCTGCTCTCAGTGGCCAGTCAGAAGCCTTCTGAGTCTCCAGCAAGCAATCAACTAAAAAAGGACGTGAAATTTGCTCCTCTGGGTCACAGATAGTGAAAAGCCACAGGCAGTATTTACAACCATTGTCATAAGGCTCCAAATCACTCCCTCTGTCGGCTGTGGCTGTGCGGTGGAAAGAGCCCTGGGAGTCAAATAGAATTCAATGGGTTTGAATTTCAACTCTTGCTACTTACTTGCCAAGTTCCTTATCAAGTAACTGGGCCTTTCCAAACTGTTTTCTGGTCTCTGACATTGGAAGTATGCTTCTGTCCTGGGGTTGTTGTGAGGACTGTGAGGTGCTAGTACTGAAGCTCAGGACCTTACGGTAGGTCTCTGCTGTCTGTTGTGTCAGCTCTGGTTTTAAGGTCCTGCCAGGACTCTCAGCTCCGATCCCCCTTGTTCCCCATTCCTGGTGAGCACTGTCTCACCGGCCTCCCGGGAGGCCTTCTCCCCTTGGACCCCCGTTCCTAGCCAGCAGGGATAAGCCCCAGGCTAGGGAGCCTGCGGGGGCTTTCACGCACATGTGAGAGGGACACTCTGGGCAGCTGCTGCCGGGGAGTGGGTGCATGCCGAGAGGGAGGAAGGTGCCCTTGTAGGATGCCCTTTCCTCTGCATGGCATGGCCTGGCGAGTGGAAGGGCCTGGATGTTAATGTCCGTTCCTCCTGCCATTCTGCCCAGGTGCCTTCACACAGTGCACACAGTGTACAGCTGTGCACAGCAGCCCCGGACAGTGCCATCCACTGCATCTGCCCTGAAGCCCCTTGTCCTCTTACACGTGGGTGTTCTCATCTGCTCCACCACATTCCCCAGGGACAGAGGCCGCTTCTCCTTTTGGGCTGTTCCTAGCATAGAACGGCACAGAAGGAGAATCATCCGAGCGAACTGGCTTTTAACCTCTGATAAACACCCCAGCTTTCAAAGCACTTTCACATACCTCCTCTGTTAATGGACCCAGCAAACCTGTAATGCACGGCTTCTCCGCTCCTGGAGGGAGACTAAGGTTTGAGGGGTTAAGCATAGTGTTAAGTGCTGTGCCCTTTGTGACTAAAGGTCTTAAACACATTTAAAGCTCAAACAGCAGGTTTTCTAGAATCATTGTGTAATGTTTACCCTACTAATCCTTAGGTAGCTAAAGCAGATCACTATAGGGCAACTGAAGTAAAAACAGGACCCGTTAACATGGGCTGCCTTTGAATGAAACCCATTCTAAGTGTATTTACATATTTCAGATTTCATGGATACATTCAGAAATATTAATGTAGCATAATTGAAGTCTGATCTGGCACCTCAAGTCCAGAGAGGAAAATAAATGACTCTTTCTCCCCCTGCCCTTTTACACCTGTCAGAGTTAATTTTTAACCACTGGAGGATTGCAAAACATTCATCCTAAAGAGCCTGATTCATAAATCTTGTTTTAAATTCTCTGGGCTTGCTTTTCAGCCAGGACTAAGGCAAGCACTACGGTAGAGTGAAATGACATTCAAAGAATTTTACTTTCCTCTGATTTGTTTTTTTATTGAATTTAAAATGTGGCCTGCCATTAGAGGTTGTTTTAAAGTTGAGA